GACCTCCAATGTCCTCTATGCCTCTACCTGCAAAGAAACTTGACAACATGTTATGTCTATCTTGTAAATATACAACTTCTGTAAGTAATGTTTTCGCTTATTACTTGAAATAATGGAGATATTTGAGGTGGACAGAATTGATGGTACATTCCTTTTATACAGGGTGAGTCAATAAGAACTCCAACCTAAAATAACTCGTTATTTATTGATTTTATTAATAAATGTTTCAATTTGCACATATCGATTCCTCTGTTCATTCTACGTAAAAAATTATTAGGGTACCATGGCAAAAAAATTATTAGTTCTGGAGATATTTTCAAAAAATATCTTTATTGAAGAAGATGCTCAAACGCTTCATGACTATGTAGTAAACGTAAACACCGTTTCGACATTGTTGTCATAACGGAAACTGATTTGTACGAGTAAGCATCTCATCATTCAGTAGCAATTTACGTATCGTAACTGAAGTACGAAAACTAAGAATTTGAAAAATTGTGATTGTATTTCACTAAATAAAAGAAAATGTATTTTACTAACAGATAATTTAAACAAAGTTATGAAAACAATAAAAAAACGTTATCAGAAATGTTGACAATGTAATGGAGAAGCGTTTGAGCATCTTCTTCAATAAAGACATTTTTTGAAAATATCTCCAGAATTAATAATTTTTTTGCCATGGTACCATAATAATTTTTTATGTAGAATGAACAGAGGAATCGATCTGTGTAACAAAAAATATACATTTCCATTTAAAAAAATGATACAATTGTTAATTGCACATGCACTGTTGCACTTAAAAAAAATCTAAGGGCCTACAGATGTAGCGCTCTTCGAGCCATTTATCTTTCTCCTTTGGCATTTTTTCGTAAATGCATTAATAACGGAGTTATGACCTGAAACAATTGCGTGGACCACCCTGTATATTTTTTGATGATATGAAAGTGACTGCCAAGACTAATTCAACCATTTGTGATATGACTTTCAAGGTCATATAAGGTTAGGAATGAAAGAAATAGTTTGAACATTTACTATTATCTTTTATTAATAAGGCTAAATAGTAAAACAAACTGATTTTCATTTGATTACACTCTGTCTGAATATTCTTCTTGGTATTTCAATTCACTATGTCGTTTATTTTTATTACACTTGTTATAAATGTGTACCACATCTACCTTCTCTTCTACAGAGTAAGGATACATTGCACTAGAACATCACTGATAAATATTGTATGAAATAATACTGAATTCATTTTGTACTATTAGTTGCATAAATAATTACCCCAACAGTCAATAACAACACAAAACCTGTTATACTGAACGTGTTATGTAGCCTTATAATAAACAATACTAGTAAATATAATGTCATGATATGTTCAAACTATTTCTTTCATTCCTAACCTTATATAACCTTGAAAGTCATTATATCACAAATGGTTGAATTAGTCTTGGCAGTCATTTTCATATCATCAAAAAATATGTAGCATTCCATTTAAAAAATTGAAGATTACCTTGATATCTCAGAAAATTTAAAATATAAAAAATCAAAATGTATCCATTCGGTGAGCCCCACCAAATGCAATGTACTTCATATAAAACATTTCTTAATAAAATCAATAAATAATGAGTTATTTCAGGTGGCAGGTCTTATTGATTTATCCTGTATAAACATATATAAAAAAATTATATACATAAAAAATTGTTATATGTTTATTAAAGTAATATAAGTGTAAACTTATGCCCAAGTTTTTCTCAAATTCTTCTTAAAATTATCATTTCCTAGATTCCTATATCATTTTTATCATTTTAACTTACAAAGCAATTTCGTTGCTGTTTGTATATATAATTTTATATATAGTTTTCCAGTTTGTTTTACAAGTATAATAAAGGTTTCAGATTACAACTTGATACAAGAAATAAAATGACGATAAAGTGTAATTTAAAATATTCAAAAATTACATTAGACAAACATTAAACCTTGACAAATTAAGCAAATGTATGTAAATACTGTAATTTATACTCACCATGGAATTTTGTACGAAGGCATTTGTTTCTGTAGAAATCTCATGTGAACTAGAATTGTGTGGAAACATTGGGCTCAGTTCTTCTTTGGCAGGCAATGCATAGAAACCA